TCTCCATACACGTTGCGTGTGGCAAGGATGTCCAGTTGGTTGAAGTGCCCTTTCCCTATCGTGCCGCAGCGCAACGAAGACCATCTCCGAGGCTAGGGACTCCGCGTCGAGGACATCGTCGCCGAGCTGGCGGGCGCGCCCTGGCAGCACCTGACGGTCGACCACTGGCGGACTGCGCGGCACCGCTTCCAGGCGGCCGCGCGCTTTCAGCTCCGGAGATTGGATGCGCCAGCAATGGACATGCGCGTGCGCCCCAAGCTGGGGTTCGTTCGGCGTTCTCCTTCAGGACATGCTCCACGCGTCGTCGCCAGCAGGTTCCTGGAACGCGTTCAAGTGCTGCGGAGCCGGGTTCCGCCGAGGGTGCGTGCGGCCGTGTTCGCACGGCGTGGAACGGACGGTGCAAAGCACGACGGTTTCAGCAGCGCGATGGCCCCCGCAATCTCTGCATGCTCGGTCGCGGCGGGATGGCGCAGGACAGCGTGGAGCACTGCGCAAAGTGCCGGGTCGCCCGGCGCGCCCACGCCACCGTGCTGCACATCGCGGACGAGTGACTTCTCCCATGGTGGGTTGGCGTCCACGACAGCCACCGGAACGACCAGCTGTTGGCTCTCGGCGCGATTGGCGCCTATGCCACGCACCGCGCCACGAACGCAGCCAGACATCAGGGCGGATTCTCATCGGCCGGCGGCGAGCGGGCGCTGCAGCAGTCCATCCGCGAGGCAGTCGGAGGACACGCCAAGGCCGAGAGGGCCGTGGCCGGTGTCTGGCGCGGCCGGCATGGAGCGCGGCGGTGGCCCGAGCGGCGCTGCACCACACCGCCGACGGGCTCGCCGGCGGCTGCGTTGGCGGCCAGGCCGGCAGCAGCGCCAGCAGCTTCACCGGCGACGTCGTGGACACCTTCGCTGGCTCCGGTGCACAGAGTGCCCTCCCATCCCCTCCTCCTCCTCCTCCTCCTCCTCCTTTTCCTCCTCCTCCTCCTCCTCCTCCTCCTCCTCCTCCTCCTCCTCCTCCTCCTCCTCCTCCTCCTCCTCCTCCTCCTCTTCCCCATCCCCCCCTCCTTTTTCGTTTTGGCCCTGTGGTGCAAAGCGGTCACTCCCGCTGTCGTGTCCTTCGTTCGTCGTCGTCGTCGTCGTCGTCGTCGTCGTCGTCGTCGTCTCGCCTCTTCCGCTCCTCTCGCCCTTCCCGCTCCTTTTGTTGGCCGTCGGCCCCTCCCCCTCCTCGGGGGCTGTCCTTCGATGTTTGCCGGTGAAACGTGCGCTCCCGCGCGTCCGCTTGCGGATGCGCGCGGGTGCATCGATCGCCTCCTGCGCCTCGGCACCGCCCCAGGGCCACTGCGGGGTTGTCCCGGCCACCTGCGCAGGTCCACACGTGCGCGGGGCGGCATGTTTTGGCTCGCGCGCCAACACAAGCCAGCGTTGCGGCCGAGACGCTCGTCGAGGGCGGCCCCCCTCCTTCCTCTCCCCCGTCTTCTTCTTCCCCCGCCTCGCCCCCTCCTCCTGGTGTTTTTGTTTCACTGGTGAGCGCGTGACAGTTTGGACGCCAGAACTGCTTTTCGGCGCGGAGGGGTCGGATTTGTCCGCCCGCGCGCGTTCTCATCAGCACCTGGTAATTGGCGTTTTTTTCGACTGATCCAGCCTTTGCCCTGGCCCTGCTCGGCAAGCCTCTGCCCGAGTGGACTGGGATGGGGGCCACCACCCGCCCAAGGGTCTCTGTGACAGGACTCGCCCCCTCGGGTCTCTTGACCACCCCTGGCCCCTGGCCTCTCTGGCAGGCGTTCGCCGTCACCGCTGCAGTCCATGCCCTGTTCAACAGACTTTCGGTCGTCAGTCGTCGTGACTTGTTGTTCGGGCCGGCCAGCCGCCCGGCGTGTCTCCTCCCCCTCCCCCCTCCTCCTCCGCCTCTCTTCCCCTTTCCTCCTCCACGGAGGTCGTCGTTGGTGTTTCTGCGGAGTGACACTTTGCAGGAGGTCTTGCATGATGTTTTTCTGTCTGCCCCCGATGGCGCTGCGCAGAAGGGGCGTAGTTTTCTTAATTGCGCAAGCCATCTGCCCGCGGGCCCGTCGCTTCCGCACGGGCGGCGCTGGCTCCACGCCGAGTGTACTTGCTGGGCGTGTTTCGCCTTGTCTTGCCCGGACAACCGCGATTGGCCACCAGCGGGCTCGAGTCGCTGCCCCACTGTGTTGGCTCAGGTTTTCCTCCCCTCCTCTCCTCTCCTCGCCTCCTTTCTCGGCTCCTTTCTCCTCCCTCCCCCACTCTTTTGGAACAGATGTGGTGCTTCAACTTGCCTCCGGCATCGTTCGCTCGCACAGTTGGCGCGGCCCCTCTGCCTAAGCATGAGGCGCTGCTCCAGCGCATGTGTTCGCTGCTCGTGTGGGTCCTCTGTGCGGGCACCTTCTCCAGCATTGGCCGTGGAGACTGGCCTACGCACGCACGAGCTTTAGTTTACAACTGCCCGCTGGCTTCTCTCATCTTCTTCCCGCTTCTTCTCCTTTGCCTTCTCCCCACTCGCGCCGGGCACGTGTGCGAGTCCCGCCGGCATCACCCGCATGGGGTACGCACGCGCGAGTTCTCTGACATATAGTGGCGCAGTCTAGCCCGTGGGAGTAATCTGGTCAAAGCATGTGCCGGTGGGCATAGGAATCCGCTGTCAAATTGATTTTTCTGTCAGCGTGGTGATTCCACCATGCGGGACTTGCTCCTGGCACTGCAACGCGAGGAGTCAATTGGTGCATTGGTCATGGGTTGTCCGCGTCCCTCTCCCGTCCCCACTTCCCCCTCTCCAAAATTGCGCTGGGGAAAAAATCGATTCGGACCACGTCTAAGAGGTATCGGGTCGTTCCAATTGTCTACAATTTCCTTGAGTCCGCGGCGAGAAGCAATAGCGCCATGATTGTTTGGCGACAGTCCGATGGCAAGAGTTTGCCGTCCGTAGAGGTAATCATGGCTCAGTGGTGCGGCATGCATGCGTTGTGGAATGTCATCTTAGATGATCCGACCATATGTGCAAGAGTGTTCGGTGGTTCGCCATGACCTTGTAATGCGCAGAGTTGTGTGTGGGGGGGGACCCAGATGAAGCTGAAAGCAGGGCATCGTGTTAGAAGATGCATCGGTTGGGGGAAATGTTTTTTGCCATGTATAGGTTGTCGGAATCTCTTGAGCTGGTTTTACTATTTTTCCGGATCCATGAGACATCGAAGAAATCATGAAGAGCCTACAGGAGTCCAAAAGGAGTTCGTCGGAGTCTACAGGGGTCTTTCGCCTTTCGGAACTACGAATATGTAGGAATCGATTTGGGCCCTTCGGAAACGACAGGAGTCCATGCGAGCCCACGGGCGCTGCTCAGGATGCGGCGCGTCACGGAGCCAGCAGGTGCCACCGGGGCGCGGACACGGCGAAGACGTTGCGGAGCCAGCAGGCGGCCACAGCTCAGCCTTCTCCAGTCCAGGCGCTTCCAGCCCAATCCCGCCCAGTCCAGCCCAATCCACTGAGCACGGCGACCCATACCACGCCAGTCGTGTCGTGTCCTACTGTCGCTTCGCTTGGACGTGCTGCAAGGTGCGCACTGCCGGATATGATGATGAAAACCCCCACGCCTCGCAGATCCCACCCATCACATCCAGAAGCGATGACCCAGCTCGCTGCTTTGAGCAGGGGAATGCAGGAACATGTAGAGGAACAAAGAGGAGACAGAGGAGGACAGTCATCAAACCGAAGATCGTCCCCGCGTCGACCATGAAGGCATTTTCGAAGCTCGCGCTTGGAAGTCAAACCGAGGCTGGAGTCAGCCCCAGCAGCCCCCAACGACGCCCCACTGAGCAGCCTCGCGGAAGCTTCTTCTGGGGGCCATCGCACAATACAGCAACTGAAGCTCTCAAGACTGCGGTTGGAATATCACGTGTTTCAGAAGTTTTGGGTGAGCTTACGGCGACCACCTCGTCTCTCCCGACTTGCCTGATTTGAAATCGCCATGGCCCTCCCTCCTGCCAGCGCGCCCGCGCAGAAACCAGGAGGAGAGGGAAAAATAAACGGTACTGCTGGACTGCTATCCTGGGGCTTCCTTGTAGCGCGTTGGGGAGTATTTTTGGGGCTCGCCTTGTGGCATGCCAGAGCCAGACAAATCGTTTCTGGGAGTCTTCACGGGCTGCCTGAGGATTCTCTGGGGCCCTCCTGAGCACCTTCTGGGCCTCCTCTCTTAGGCCTCCTGGACCATCTTGGGGCCATTGGATTTTGTCTGCGATGTTGGCCCTTCGGGGACGTTCAAACGAGGTTGCGTCGCCTCTGGGCCGCCGTGATGCCTCGTGGCGCTTCGGCGCAATGCTGGATGTCACCTTGGTCCGACATGGGCTCGGGCCATCCTGGAGGCCATCTTGGGCTACCTGGGGCCAGGCCACCTCGGAGCCATCTAGGGTCGCTTCGGGCGCTCCGCGGCCGAGAACAGCGGGGATGCAAGGGCCGTCCGCCAAGTCACTTTCGCTTGGAGGGCTTGTGGCTGTCATGCCACACAGAGGGGGGGGGGTGGGGGCGGGGGGCGAGGAGTGGGGGGCAGTTTCTGCCCAGTCTGGTGGGTGTGCCTGTTCGGATGGTTGTTCGCACCAGCCTGAAGAATCGCAGGCCGACGGATCAGAACGCCGGCCGCTGGACCAATCCGTCGCGACACGCGAGGGGGGTCAATTGAAAATGCTCAACGGTCTGCCCCCTCCCGCGACCCATCCCCGGCCTTCGCGCCACATCATTAATTGGATGTCGCTGGAGAGGGGTAGGGAGCAGACAAACTCGGCCACGAAAAATTCGGTCGATTAAAGTCGGCCAGCTGAGTTCGGCCAGGTTGAATTCGGTAGACTCAATTCGTCAGGGTTGGGGGGCAAGTTCGGCGTTCCCCGCTTGTGTTTTCAAGCTGCGCGTCGGTACCCATGACCGAGCGACTCCCCAACGTCTTGCCTGTCCCTTCCTGAATCCTCCCCCCTCTTTTTTTTCCTCCTCGCCCGGCACCCGCGAAGCAAGGCGAAATGAAGGCGCTGCAGTTCGTCGCAGCCTTTGCCATCATATATGTGGCAACGCCGGTGAAGGTCCGTTGGGATGGCCGCGAGACCGCTGGCGGGGGTCGCCAGGAGTTCGGAGCAGTGCACGAAGCATGGGGTTGGGCATGACATGACCGTGGCGCCACCGCGACCAGGAAGGTTTCTTGATTCGAAGAAGAGAAACGGGCATAATCATAAATTGTTCGGAGCTTGGCGCGGATTCCTTTGGTTTGTGTTGCAACCCCTGGCGCCGCCCCTAGCGCCGCCCTTGGCACGCTCCGCGCGCCAGGGGGAGGGGCCCAGCGCAGATCCAAGAAATCCGCACGGACCGTCGAAAGTTTTTGTTCATGGAGTTTGTGGTTCCTCCGTTGGCTGGCCTTCCTCTCCCATGCCCCTCCCTCCATGTTCCACATACTCTTCCCCCTCCTCTTCCCCTCCTCCTTCTCTTCCCCTCCTTGCTCCTCGCGGCGGCGACGCCAGCTCGGGCGATCGAGCTTGAACGCCGCCAGTGGCCTAGAACCGACCGATGTCCTGCGGTCTGAGCTATCGGGAAGCCGCGATCGTTCAAGCTTAGGCGATCCACGGGGCGTCAGAGACCGACGCCGCCGTCATCGCCGCACGAACCTGCCGTAGTGGGGGGGGGCTATATGCCAGATGCCGCTCTCACGTGCTAGCCACCAGCATCTACCTGCACACTGGGTTTTGCGTTATGCACATCGACGCATTCGGGGTGGATGCGTCTGACGTCTGTGGGCAACACGGCCCCGTTGCGTTCGGCGCAGTACGAGGGTCGGAGAGAGGGCAGACACGTCCACGGTATGTCCCTGTTCTAGGGCACGTCCTGCATGGCATTCCAAGCTGAAGCTCCTCAGCCGCGCCGGCGAGATGGCCGAGCATGAAGCGTGGACGCGGCGAGCCCGACGCGGCTCAGGCGTCGACCTGGAGCGCCTCCCTGGAGGCGTCGCTGGACGGCTCGAACACTGGGTAGTCGAAGGCCAGACTGTCAGATTGGATTGGGCCCCACGGGCCAATCTGGCCTGGCCAAACTGGATGGTTTGGGTTATTCGCCAGACTGGATTCGCGTTGGCTCCCTCGCCAGATTGCCCCCGTTTGCCAGATTGGGCCTGCCAGATTGGCGCCAGATTGGCTTCGACTACCCAGGAACACGACTCTGGCGAGACACTCTCTCAGGAGGGGCCAAGCACGCTCCCAGGACGGCGTGCCCCCGGTGAGGTGTCGCAGCGGCCACGGCTCCAGCCACGGTGGGCGCCAGAACGCAGCCGCTGGGCGCCCCCCGACGTGGGCCCCGAGGTCCCCTCTCCAGGGCACGTCTGCTGTGGGGTACGCTCGGCCTCCCCTGGTTTTCGCGCAGCACAGGCTCCTCAGACGCGCTCGCGTCGTTAAAAGATCAGGGCGGCGAGTTTTGCATCATTTTCGGCCCCTGGGGGCCCTCGCCGGGCCCTGGGGCCGTCAAGAAGCGACTCGGGACGAAAAGCCAGTCCCCGGGAAAGGGTGGGGATTTCTAGGGACGCCGTCCTGGCAACATCAGGACGTCGCATGTCTGGGTCTGGCTGTGCGGCACACACTTTGCGGCTCGTCTGTGCGGCACGAACAGCTTGCTGCCCTTGCCTGTGTGGACGCGGGGCCCGGGAGCAGCGGATAGAGCAGATCAAGGCGGCGACCCGCGACGTCGCGAAGGAGCGAAGGATGACGACCCGCGAGGGACATCCATCCTCGGCAACCCACCGAGCCTCCTGACCCGACCAGAGCCCATCAACGTCGACACCCTCCGGGTGGACCAGCTGGCCAGCATGGGTGCACACCGAGTCCGCCACACCGTCTCGATACAGAGCCGAGGAGACAAGCGCTTCGGCCACGTGGACTTGGAAGCACACGAAGCTGACCACGTCATGGGGCACGATCTCTGCGCCAAAAGGCCGAGGTGGAGGGCGGGACAGACACCGATTTGGGCCTTCCTGGTCCA